AAAATTAAACCTTATTTTCAATAAGCAATCCTGAAAAATATTTGGGGGTGCTTAACTTTTTTCCAGGTGTATACATGTATAAGTCAAAATATAACTTGTAGGACATCTGCAAAAAACTTGCATAATTTTGTAATTTTCTTGTCTATATTTATAAAATTAATAATGTTTAAAGCTGCATAAGTAATCAGGGTAAAACCAATAAATGTGTATTAATTGTTGAAGGCCAACATAAAATCCAGTGAAATAACATAAACTTGTCCAAGTTATGTTAGACCATCAGATACAGCACAAATATTTTCAAACTATTTATAAAGAAATTAGGAATTTGAAACATTTTCTATAATCAAAAGATATATAATAATATATATGGTTGATTGGTGTTTATGTCATCCTTACTATTAAAAATACTTATGAAGATGGAATAATGCACTATACGGTAGAGGTTAATGCCCAGCAAGAATAAAACTAAGTTATTCATATTGCACTCAGGCTCACTCAAATTGCTTACTAAAGCCGAATTTGTTAAGTTATAGAAAATATTCGGCTGTATAATTTCATTAATTCTTGATTGTAAAAAAACATCAATCCAATAACACTGTAGGTGAATATTTGTTATGTCGAAGTATTTTAATAAATCATTTAAGGTTTTGAGTACAACCGTAGTGTTCATATATTTTATTGGAGTTAAAATACTTAAATTCATCAGTTTTATTATTGTCTTTAAGATCCTATTGTTCTTATAAAAGTAACAAAATCATTGGAAATTATACCATTTAAATATCCCATAAAGTTTTATAAGCAAATAACTATCTTATAGTGATTAAAAATTGCAGTTTATAATTATCTGAATACAACAATATCATTCAAAATATTATCAGCAGTAATTTTATGCAAAATAAATAGACACAGCTAAATATAGTTTCACAAGAAAATTTTTTTTAAAAGTAATAGTTTAATTAAAAAAAAACATGTCCAAACATGCGAGGTAGTTCAAATTTATAAGAAAGTCACCTTACCGTAACCCACTGTCTAATATCCACGAGAGTTTTTTGATTAAAAAGGAGATTTTTTAATCGCGCTAGAGGGCCTTCTGCATCCACAGCTCGACATTTTTGAAAAACATCACAGTAGCCTTTGAAGTCGTTACATGGAGATCCCGGTCTCAATTTGATTCCTTTAATATTTTTCATTCTCTCAATTTCGTATGTACTCTTACATGTCGCTGGTTGGTCTACAAAAACATTTTTTATATATCAAAAATTTGTATAAAATATTCGAGGTGTATCAAAATTTACACAATTTTTACTATATAATTGAAAGGTTAGGGTCAACAGACTTTAAATAATGATCTCTTTCTCAAATACAATTCTCAACCAAGAGAATCATAATACATCAATGTTAATATTTTGTAAACCTGATATAGTGTAAATTAAACAAAACCATAATCTACATAAATGCTTAAAAAGCAGAATAGCTAAAAATTAACCACTGTAATGTTAACCCTTTCCAGCCCAGTATCTTCTATGGTTTTACAGGTGCAAATAATATCAAATTATAAAAATAATTCTGTTTAATTTCTCCTTCCAAATCAGATGCAACATTATAACTAAAATTTCATATTTCAGACTTTTATTTTGAGAGTACAAATATCTAAAACTTGCCAACAAGTGTTGTTTTTTTATCAAAGGGCTATATAATAGGCTATCTGTGCTCTGTCCACTTTGGACAATTAAACCCTGGAGTTATAAGTCTGTAACACTTAATGCTGACCCATAACAAACAAAGCTACAAATCTATAGTCTATGGACATGTTTGTTGCTTATTTCTAACTTAATACTTTGAAAATGGTAAATTTCAAAGCTAGTGGTGTCAAAAACAACAAAATTTAACTGAATGAATTTTTTACAATTCCAAGCTTCCAGTGCAAACAAATATTCAATATGTATCGTATGAAATCTGAGAATACTTTATTTCTCACAATATATTTGCCACAGAGCTCTTTCTTCTTTATATGGACTTTCTAGCTTTTAATTATAACATCAGAATTCTTTCCAGATCACATGCCTCAAATATGTCATGGTTTTAGTTTTTCTGCACCACATACGCATAATAAATTAATTTTATATATTCCTTGACATGATTATTTTGTTAAAGTAAATACTTTGACAGTTGATTTATACTTTACAATAACTCCTGCTTGTAATTTACACTACAGAGTCTTACAGTGGAACATCCAGGTGCATTAATTCAAATCAATTTACTTGTTGTATGGTTTGTTTTATTGCAATTCAAAAATAAAACTACTAAATGAGATTGCTTTAAACTCAAACTTTCCACAGATGATGTAGCTTTTGTAAGATATTCATGTATGTAGTATTTGTATGAATTCTCAGCTTTGGAAATTCTTAAAAGTTTTCACTTTATGAAACTGTAAATTTTGTCTCTGTTTTCATTTGAAAAACACCCCACGTAGTTTCATTGTTTTTACAATCACTGATGCACAATGAAAACGTTTTTACCATATGAAAATTATGAGCAAGCAGACTGTACTATCTATTTATCAGAACATTTTAATATATTTAATAAGTTTTAAACTTGTTTTATATTAATTTACATATATTTTCTTTAAGATTGATTTTCAGTGATTTTCTTTGCTCATTCAAGCAGTTGTTTAGGCTAATAAGGCCTAATGTAAACGTGATCTAACAAATGTAGGCCTTGTCAGTGAAATAAAATTTGATACATTAAAGTACAAAATGACCTAACTAAGCCTAACAGTTCTCAACCAGATCTTTTTCCATAAAAACATTTCTTTGTCTATCACACTACAATATCATAATTCAAACGAAGTATACGATTATAAAACAAACTTTACAAATGCTTTAATGGGAAAAACACAAGAAAATCAAAAATGTACTTACGGCAAAAGGTTTTACAAAAATATTTTTCTTCCAGCGGCATATCTGCAAGCTAAGCTTTTATCAGTTTGTTCTGACCTTTATGCAATTCTCTGCTGTACTAGAAGGTAAGTTAGCTTATGTTGTTGGTATTGATAGGAAAAAAGTTTTCATTACATGTTAAAGTCTCCAGGCTATGAATTACCCAAGTTAAAATACTTGCTGTTTAAATAACACCATGACAACCAAAGTTGAGAAGTGATTGGTTAAAATTGATAAAACTTCACTTAATGGAAGTTACAAGGTTCAAATTGGCTTCAATTTATTCAAAACCACTTTTACTTTCTCCCTAGTGGTTAACGAATTCTATATTATGTTCAAACAAAAATTTGGAAGGTTCACAAACACAACTGTTTTTTTTGTTCATAGTGGACTGAAATCAACCAAAAATTAAAAATTTTTTGATTAAATTATTTTTTTCTATTGAATAAATTTCAATTCTGAATTATTAACACAAAACCTGTGAAAAAACAAGTGAAAGTTTATTTTCTATAATTATTTAAGCTCAATGGTTTAATTATATCCTTAGATCAGGGTGCATCCAGCCAGGTGGTGTTAAGTTAACTTTTATGAATGCAAGTCCAGAAGTGGCTAGTATAATGCCACTGGGTTGGAAAGGATTAAACATTTTCTTACGTACAGTATATTTAAAAAAATATATATATATATTCTACTGTAGCTCTTTTTTTCTGCATTGTAAACAAATGAACACAAATATCAATAAAACATACTTTACCTTTCACAAGTATGTTCGTTGTGGAAAAGAAGATTTATTCATAGAAATGCAGCCACAATTCATGGTCCACATGTGCATGTAGTCAAATAATTTTTGACAGAAATTTATCAGAGAACCAACAGCCTCTTTTCTAGGTCAGGAAGCATGGCATATTTTGAGAGGTAAGCTATTCCTCACTTGAAGATACTAGTAATAGTTGATTTTCATTGCAAAGATCTTATAAATAAATGTTTGAATTTAATTTTACAATGTATATGTGACTTTAAAAATATGTTCACATATTTTTGTTTTATAATTTACATTTTTTTTGTTTTACCTTTTACAAGTTAAATCAAAACCATTTGATAATATAGCAATCACCTTTTATAAGTTTTTGGTATCTTAATTACTAAAAAGCTAGGCTGATACTTATTTTCAATACATCTTTAATCTCTCTTTTTTTGGGGGGGAGAGGTGTAAAGTTCTGTCAGCACAAGTTTGTAACAGCAAGTTCTTGACTGAAAAGTAAGCTATGGTACTACACAAAATCAACAGAAACAAACTGGGAACATAAACTATTGCTTTTGATGAGGGGGGGTATATCATGTACATATACAAAGTTATTGTTAATTCATAAACCTATGAAATAAGTAATGCATCCATGGTGTTCATTACAACAGAACACCAAAAGTGCACTATCTACCAAATATTAACTATAGTTACTAGTCTATAACTACACAAAGTAAATGATAAAGAGAAACAGTCCTGAATTCTTACTTCGCTCCTGACAAGCAACCTCGCACATCTTCTCTGGTTTTACACCATGATCACTTGATAGAAAACACTCTTCTAGGTCATACTTCTCACAGATGGATCCAGAACATTCTCCATTCCAGCAAACCTGAGTGCCTTCATTACACTCAGTCCTATTTGGCTGAGGAAGAGAAGCTGGGCATAATGCACTCCTCCCAGTAATCCTCAATTAAGGAAAGCATTTATATATAATGGTTTATATTTGCTATTTAAAAAAATAATAATATCACATTTGTGATATAAAGCAATGATTACAATAAAAAAATTATTCAGTATATAAAATAAGATTAAAAAAGTCAGTATTCAACATGTGAAGATGAATGAACTTAACTAAATGAGAACCAACTGATTAACACATCACCTTAATTACTTAAAGTTAATTTTTCTTTTCCAATTAGAAAAGCAACGTCCTCAATCATGTGAGGAAGAATAGATAGCAACAGAAAACCTGAAAATTAATTATAATTTCTCTAAGTCTTTAAAACATGACAAGAGTAATGAAGAAGTTAATGAGAAGAATGAAAAACAGGCTAATAAAGAGCTTATAAACTTACATGATTAGTGTGGGGGGATTACTGTAAACAGAGGAGAACACATTAATAAAGTTCTTTAAAACTCAAAAAAGGTAAAGGAGGGATTATTTAGTGAACAGAGAAGGAAATAATAATGAAATTATTTAAAACTCACCAAATGTAATGGGGGGGATTACTGCAGCAGGAAAGAATACATTAACACAGTTCTATGACTTACAAAATAAGCCTAAATATGACATCCTTTAGAAAAATCCTCTAATCCACAGAAACAAAACTTCAAAAGGTATGTTTTATGCTAACAAATATCCAAATAATTTAATACCTTTTAGACATGTATTTGTGACAATATGCATAAATTTTAACAGAGTTGTTTGGTTCATAAGTCCACTGTACTTAAGAGTTGTAACAATTATTACTGTACACTGGTTATCATAAACTCAGATAAACTGTTGTAAAAATTACTGATGGCATTCATCCACAAAAAAGGGACTCGTCAATGCATGAAAACAAGCTTAATATAAAAATACAGTGTACTGGTTTGTTTAGAACAAATAACCAAAACATAATAACACAAGTTTACAATATGTTTCTTGGAGCACAGAAAATTTAAAACAAAGACAAGCACTAAAAATTTAAAAAATAAATGGCTGAAACAAAAAGTGAAAAAGACAGTCCTTTTGAAGTTATTACTATAGATTTGTTTTGTAGCAAACTTACCCAAAAGAGGTCTTAAAGAAATATTTATTCTACAACTGACATACATATAGACAGAACAGACTTTACTTATCTGTAAAATATACTTAGTGGATAATGACCATAAACTTCCTTGCTTTCAAACACCAGCTATAATTAATATAGTCCACACATTTCTCTTTGTTTCCAAGGTAGCTGTCAAAACTTTGGAATTCTACGAATCTCCCATACTTTAGAAACATCAGTTTAGGATCTTCACAAAATGCTTGTTTAATGAAATACTCTTTTGTTTAGGAAATATTTATCTTTAGATCAGGTCAGGAAGCTTTTATGTAAATTCTGGATCACTTATTTCAATGTGAGCTCTGGGTTAAACATTACTGCAATAATAAAGTTCAGTCTGAAACAATATAAAACATCCATTTTAGATGATTCCTTATAATTGAATCTTACAAACTGTAAAATGTTATTGACTTAATATTGAACTATTTTTATGCATCACGAATCTCTAAAAAATAAAAAGCACATTCTTTCTTCTTTTAAACACCCTCAAGTGTGTTTGTAAAAGGATATCCACACACTGACTGGAAACTACAATCAGATCTCTCTCGACACAGTTTGTTACTGTTTTCAAAATGACAAGCATCTGTGCAACAAGGACCTTGGCTTGGACTAGAAGATAAAACAACACACATTTGTAAACAATAATATATGAAATCCACATCAAAAGATTACTTTACATTATGTACACAGTACTAAGCATAATATTTCAGATGAAGGAAAAAACATATGGGTTTATGAAGTGATCTACTTAACTCACACAGTATTGGTCAGAAAATAAATGCTAATCATTCCAAACAGAAATTATATTCAAAGCTGTCTTGTTCTGCAATGTGTACCTGTTGACACATTAGTAGATTTACATTATATAAAAGAAATGATGGATGTCAAAGTGATTCTTCTAATAATAAACACATACATGTGTATAATTGTGATTTTAACTGTTTAAATAACTCTCTCACTATGGGCTTGGTCCCAAGGGCCGACCTCACGAACATTTTGTGCTTGTCATAGTTTTCATACAATAACTTTTAATGCAGTATGTGTATCTTCACAAAATTTGGCACTTTTAGTAAACATAATAAGTCTTTTGTAGACAAGAAAAATCATATTTTTTAATGAAGTATTTTTACTAAAGATTTGTCCCTGAATATATATATATATATATATATATATAGTATTTTTATATACTAGTACAAGTGCTAAATGACTTCCCCATTGAGATTTAAAATACTTTTTTCATTTCAAAATCTCAAATTTTATTTGCATAATTTCTAAAACCTCCTAAATAAATTCAAACGTTCAAATGTTATGCTATTGAAGTACATTATGCACGAGCATATTATATGAATATTTTTTTATTATATTATTATTGTTATTTCACCTAATTTAACCTTAATTAACATTAAAAGTTTCCTATTTTTACATTTTAGTTACTTTTATAATAATAAACAAAGAATACACAGGAAAAACAAGAAAAAAGTACTTACCTGGGTCTTTTTTTGCTAACCCTTTTTTTTTTTCATACTAATGGTAGTACTGCACTAAATAATTTTTTACTTAACTAAATAATGCAGCAAAGATCACAGAATAATAACATCCAAAAAGCAGACAATGTTCCATAACTATAACAATTTTTCTGGCTCTCAAACTATGCAACAACAGCTGTTAAAAATTCATCTAAGCTCGTCAATGTGTTTCCCATGGGAATCAAGCTTGAACTGAAAGCAAAATTTGCAATTCTCTTTACAGAAAACAACGAAATATAATATTACTTGATAGATGAAAACCACAGCTTTCTATTGGTCATAAATAATATAGTATTAAATGGTAGAGAGAACTATTGGCAATTTCTGGAAGCAAGAATGTGACAGGTGGGTGTGGCAAGGGAGATCTAGTTGTCGACTTCATGGTTCTTTAAACAAACAAAATTGAAATCTATGAAAATTATGCACTGTCTGAATGATGATGATATTATAACAGGTAATTTACATTACATTTCATACTTCTTGAAGGGGTGGTAAATAAATTAGAGAAGAGGAGATGCATAGAGAGCAAATGTCATAATTTTCACACTAGAGAAAATTCTAGATTTTGTTAAATATTGCCTTATAAAAGTAAGAAACTAAAACTTATACACTATTAAAATATGGATTATTAGCTATGTTTTTATGCTATACCTACTGGTATGACATGAAAAGAAAGTAGTTTAATTAAATTGTGAAAGTAACTTACTAAAACCTTGTACATTCACAGAAAAAGAAGTCCATGGAGAGAGAGAGGGTTAAATGGTAGCAAATAGTAAACTTAATACTGAAGGTAAAATTATGTTTCTGTTTATACCAACACAGAAAATTCATAAAACATAAACAAGCTCTGAAAAAAGAAAAAAAAGGAAAAATGTGGTCCCTTTGATTATATGACAAAAGAATAGTTTACCTTTGTCAGTCATCTTCTCAGAAAACCAAAATATCAGTTTGTAATAGCTGTAACTATTTATTTTATCTATAAATAGGGATGACTACATATAGTGTCTTGTTTATTAAACAATGAAATTAAAAGTAGTTAGTAGAAGTCTTTCATGCCTAAGTAAAATGTATTCATATCCACTAGTTATTACTCTTATATAGTTTAGTAACTAAAAAGAAAAAACAATTAAGACTGGAGGAAGCTGTTACAAAAAACGAAAAAATGAGAAATACAACAATACCTCAGCCAATTTTAAATTATTTGAAGTAGTTCAGGTTTGGCAACAAATACAGAGCAAATTTCCCATTCTTACACTGTAATTTCTTGAAATCACCAGAAGTTATTTAAAAATCCATTTTCTCTTCACAAACACAATACCTTTTTCGAAATCTTATAGGAATAACATTTTTAAACCAACCTGCACTGAGTGTCTGGGCGTCTGGTACATGGCTTTGCCCTTGGATCTCTTTCTTTGTATGGTTCTACTTCTTTAGGATAACAACATCTTTCACTACACTCATTGATATCCCAGCCACAATCACATTCCTCTCCCTCCTCAACTATTTTGTTACCACAGAAAGGTCCTCCATCCTCTGTTATCAATCAAATGAGAGAAAGAAAAAAAATCTGCTATAGTACAATACACAAGAAAAAAAGACATTAATATGGTACATAGTGATTGGTATTTTGCTAAAAATCTGATCTAAAACACATTTTAGAAGTTAAACAATACTGTAAAATAAGTAATAGAATACAGATGGTGAGTTTGAATGTGTTTTTTTATTATTATTATTATTATTAAATAAAGAGAACAAAAATTGCTTTGACAGCTTTTACAATGTTTTTTCTCTCATGAAGGCATAGTCAGCCAGTTAATTTCCAAAGATCATACAACACTGTAATGTCAACACAATAATACAAGACAATTACTACTGTAAAAGTAATATACACCTTATTGAAGCTACACCTCTTAATTGTTTATTTATCTTAGGTTACAGTTGTGTTTATGTTAGTAATGGCACATAAAGTATAATCCATACTGATAGTATGATATGTATTTATAACAAGGATAATGTCTTCTTAAGCCAACATTTTTTGACACAGATATAAACACTCAACCTCATGTACTCATATTCTATCACACAATTGTAACACATACTACAGTAATAATCTATTTCACAAAAACATTTAACCAAAAAAAAGTAAATAATGTTATTTCTGTTATTTTTTTTAATCAACAAGAACAAAATGTTTTCAAATTCTGTAATCACAAAAAAGTTTTCTTAGTTTTAAGCACTGGTCTGGATTGATGCATAATGGGGTACGTTAACAAAAATAAAGTATTTTAAGAAAGTGTATGGATAGATATTTATAAATAGCTTTGTTTGTTTGTAGTTAAGCACAAAGCCACAAAATGAGCTATCTGTACTGTGCCCATAACAAGTATTGAAACCAGTTTTTTGAGTGTTATAAGCATTCAGACTTGCTGCTGAGCCAACAGTCACCATGTACATTGCAGCCAATTTTTAAATATTTTTGTACATATGCTGGAATTAAATCACATTGCTCCTAATCTTAAAAAAAAAACAGATGTTAACATTTTCCAACACTGAAAATGTATTTTTGATAGATACCTACAAATAGCTTTTCTCAAATTATACTGCCTTCTACATGCACAAATATTTTCTCACCACTAGCCTTGATACTCCCACCTACCCTCGTGTCTTCATGTGAGACATCTGCATAGCATACAAATGATCATACAGCAACCCTCCACAAATAGGAGTGCAACATAACTCCTATCACTACTAGCACCCTCTCTTCCATGCAGCTCGTAATCACTAGAGATAGAGCAGTACATACAAACCCCACAAGAAGTAGGGAGGTCAGATGGGAAATGTGAGTGATGGAAAGTATATATCAGAAATACAATTTCAGTGTAGAAAAATTTTAACTTCCAATACTATATCTTTCCTCCTGTCACAAATAGCTAGAATCCCAATGGATACCAATGGAGAATGGAAATGAGCAGGTGACAGTATGATGTGAAGAGACAAAGAAAACATGACAAATATCTAGTGAAAGGGAGGAATAAGCCATGCAAATCCAACCCATAAGGACAGTAGGAGAAAGGTTAACGGGACAAGGAAGGATACCAAGGAATAAATAAATGGGAATGGGAATACAGAAGGAATCAGTGTGCAGCCCATAACAGTGGAAAGCTCTAACCAGGCGGAGGAGGTGAGCAGAGTTGGATGGTAAGAAAGGTATGATATGAAAGGAAGGAAGATGGATATGAATGTGGAAGCACCCTCCCAAGCAGCCAATGTCTTGGGCAGAAAAGAACAGTCAGGAAAAAAAGGCAACATACGCACAGTGAAATAAAGTGCAGTGGACTATTATGTCCACATACCAACAGGAGGAAGGAAAAAAGTCTTGAAGGAGAGGTGATAGAAGAAACAGGTGGATAAAGGCTCAAACAGAGGAAAAGGGCATGAAGGACTAAATTGAAGTCCCAATCCAGGAGAGAGGCAGGACAAAGGAGATGGGTGATGCAGAGATAAAGAAATAAAAGGGAAAGTACTGGTAAATGGTAGACCATGGGCATATCAGTGAAAATGAAACATGACTGACAAGACAGTGATAGCCCAAAACTGAAGAGACCGAGAGGCTCCTGCCAAAAAAGTAAGTTAAGAAATGGGAAAACAAAGATGCGACAAGTTGCAAGTAAAAAAAAAGTTGGCCCACCTAGCCAGGAACCAGAAAAAAGCCATGCATGAAGACGGAGTTTGATAACAGTGATATGCCAAAGCATGTTCTACCAGAGTATGTGTGCATCATGGCATTAATCTACTCTAATTTGAAAAAAGAAACAATCAGTAAGAAAGCATGAGCAAAAACATGTCCTATCAGTAGAACTGCCAATCGAGAAGTGATTACAGGCTGCATGGAGGAGAGGAAGCTAGCGACGACTGGAGTTGTGTTGCTCTCCTATTGCTGCATGATAGCATGTAGATATCTCACGTGACTACACAAGGGTAGATGGGGGTATTGCGGCTAGTGGCGAGCAAATATTTGTGTGTATAGAAGGCAGTACAACTCAAGAAAAGCTGTTACGTAAGATGAGGTAAGATACTGTATCAGAGTTTCTTTCATAGGATTTGCTTTCTAGCAATTCTATACTCATTAAACCAAATATAATTTGTCACCTCATACAATTGTTGAAATTTAGCTCAAGCTTTTTGCATTTTTTTTAATTCTTGTGAAGGATTTGTGTATGCAAACAACTTGATGCTAAAAGATGGCACAGTAAATGTATTTTATGAATCTCATATAGTCCTAAACACAATATTAGTTTTAATTATACAATTACGCTATAAACATGGTCTCACTTTTAGGTTCATAATGAACGTGATACAACAATAGGCAGTGACTTTTCAGGTGACTATGGAATTTTAGTGCTAGTTCTTGTATCCAAATACATCAATTAAAAACTTAATAGACTGGGAAATTATCCTTCTCATATTTCTTTCACCATTAATCAAAACACCAACAAAGAGATTTCAAATATCCTTTTGAGTTTGCATTTTTAAACATGATCCACACATACACTGTATTTACACACAAAGTTTACGTAAGAGTATAACTTTGTTCCTACTAGGATTGTACAATTCACAATTTAGTAACAACACTCACAACAAATGTTGGTTGTTCTTTTAACACTTATTTTTCAAATGCTTATATTCATCATTAAATGAATTTTATGGAAAACAGAGAACAAAAAAACTCACAGTTTTACATTGTTCAATTTTTTAAAGTTTTATATACTGATAACAAATAGCCATTTAGTAATTCTGAGCTTTTCTTACAAGATTAATGACAAAGTGGACTAATTTAAGTGTGGTGAAATCATTTATTATACCATGCGAGAAATAAATTAATCCCAAAACTAGTCTAGAGAAAACAATTCTCAACAATTACATAATCTCTTCATATATTCTTTCCTTCACATTCTTTAATCTTAAGAACTCTCATATTTTAGTTACCTCTGGCATAGGGGCAAAGATAAACATACACATCTTATGTTTAAGATACACCAGTAGATTGTACTACACTTTACAGATAAACTTTATAAAACTTTCAATATTAATGTATATCTCTGTGTGTTTGATAACAGTTAAATGTTACTTAAATATATGACTATTGCTTTAATAATGGATTTTGAAAGGTAGCTTAAATTGATTTCTCCTACTCGTCTTGAATTAAAATTTTGAGCAGTCATGTACACCACATAGATTTTAATGTCCTGATATTTACTTAAAACAATTAAGTTGTGTAAAAGTTATTAGTAATACTATTTCCGATACAATGTTGTTGTTTTTTTTCATTGTATGTAACTTTTAATATTCTACCTTTAGAAATTACAACAATATCTTATTAAACCCTTTTTCATTATAGCTTCAATCCTTCAATTAGAATAAAATGTAGTTAAGACATAATAAATGCAACATATAGGTTATAAATAATAAATAACAATGTAATCATGAGAATGGAACAGGTATCAAGGTAGAGCTGGATAAAGAAATGCTCAAAGAAATCAGAAGACACAAACATACCTAACAAGCAATTTTCTTTTCCATTACTGTTATATACAGCTTGTAAAACAGCACTAATATTGCGAATACTACACAGAGAAAATTTGTTATTGTTGTATCTATCTCCTGATGTGGCACTGGCATACATGATGTAGTTTCCTCTAGTACCACCTGGGCGACACTCATCTGGATAGTCATGCTAAAATACAAAACCGCCAATAGATTTTCAAGACTACAATATAAATAGTGAAGTATATTTTGTCATTTTTAACTGAAAGGTTTGCTTCCTCAAAAATTATAATATAACCTATGTTGAAAACATCAGTCTTTTACGATAACATGTTATGTTCTCAACAAATATAAAAACTGCTACTAGTAAAAGAACTATTCATATCAAAATAATATATTTACTATGAAAAACTTCCCCATTTTCCAAATGCAGTACATTTTAAAAGGATATTTAGACTTTTCATCATTAAAATATTAAAGAAATGCTAGAACTTGATTGCCTCATATTCCTATGGAGATATATACATGTGAAAAACTAGAACACAAACACACAATATATTTACCTGTGCTCAACTCTTTTCACTTCCAGTATTAAAAAATCACGACAATGTTTTAAATTTTAAGTGATGCTTATATTCAGGTTAGTTTGTTTTCTTAAGTCAAAACTTTCAAAAATTGCATTAGTTAATGGAGTAGGTACTACACAGAATTTTCTATGTGAATAAATAACCATAATTCTGAGCCTTTTTTTTTACAATATAAACCTTAAATATTTGCAAGAGCTTAAAGCAGTTTTCCTGAAAGTGTACCACAGTACTCCAGTGCATCACAAATGAACTGGTGGCATGTCACAAAATAATTAACCTTTTCTATAACAATTTTTAAACAAAAATTAAAATATGTTAAAATAAAAACTTCAATATGATGACCACATGAAAATAGGGCTTCAAGCCATTTTATTTACCACTTTATGCTTTACAGCTGTTTTGTGTGTGGCTATATTCTCACTTTAGTACAAACATTGCAAATGGTGGTATGGTGTAGTTTTTGTACTAGTGTCCTTGAAATGGAGAAGTTAGGAAACACTATATTAAAGTGATAAAAAAATTTAGAATTTTATTATTTCCTCTGATGAACACACTTTCCAACTTGCACACAGAAACTTGCATCAACTGAGGCTTAGCTAACTTTTTAAGATCTTAGCCATTAAAATGTACTGTAGTTTGATCATAAGTTAAAACCATAAAATATAAAAAAGCCAAACAATATTAGGTTTCAAAGTATTAATTGTCATTTATATTTTATTAAAAGTAAAAAACTAGAACTTACAAAAAACAAAAGTAAAGGTACAATGAGTGTTTAAGTTCTACAAACACATTTTTAGAGATTAATATAAAATAAGAAAAATTATTATATACATACAGAATACAAGAAATCTTAATTTAATTTGAAATAATAACCATAAATAAAGAGGGCAAATAAAAACCCTATGGCTTACTGGTGATCCGAAATTGTGGCCTATTTCATGAGCGAGTGTTAACTCTGAAACTTTGGGAGGTACTCTACTGTTATAGTTGACAAATGTAATTACACCCGTGTTGAGACTCCTTTTATTCTGCACCTGTCGACCTCCAATATTTTCTGTGTAAGATTTGTATTTCTCACAGATACCTCCTGAAGCTCCTGTCAAAGTAAAAAGAATTTGGGTTCACAACATATCAATTAGAATCCTTTGTTCAATAAACTCGGCTACCTTGTCTACTTTCCGCTGAACACTTTAATAAATTATACTGGTGGTGAACATAATTCCTGATTTGAGCATAAAAAGTTGTGGCAAAAAGGGGCTTACTTAGAACTGTTTGCCGACATTGCCATAATAGATTGATCACATATTGTATCCTATAACTAGTAAGAAATTATTGTCAAAATGTCTAAAACATTTGTTCAAAAATGTTACCTAAGTTACATTAAATGCAGAATAACATTCCATCCAAGATAACAACCAAATTCACAAAGCACTGTTATACACCAGCAGATATAAAATAAGAAACTCTATAACATGAGCACTTTTGAAACACAGGCCTTTCTTTGTCAGAGGGAAAACTGAGAATGACCAAGTAAAGTGTGACAAAAGGTGGAGTAAGATTCTGGTTACATAAAGTGAACTACCATGATATCTCAAAAGTGTTATGATTATTTTTGAAAAGAATGTTGCAGGTGCAACTCATTTCCTTTGTGTAAAGCAACAGGAAATGAGAATGATAGATATAAAGAGGTTAGTTAGAAAGGTTTTGTTTTAAAAATTTTCAACTTAAAAGGGAAACTATATTGCATACTTATAAAGAAAATATATGATATGAAAATCACTTAGCAAGAATATATTAAACAGAAAGAATTAAAAAATAAAAAACTAGAGGGGCGCTCAGTAGAGTACGTACCTCCACCGTGCAGTGTTGATCATATTCGGCTCTCATAAGATTAGAAAATGTGTCTATACATCCGTCATTATCAATGAGCACAAACCATTTTTGGCAGGACAATGAGGAATAATATTCTAGATATTTCCAACAAGTTTCATCAAAATCAGATCATTTTTGACTGAGTTAAAGAACAAAAATAGTGTGAAAAATCAGTCTCCATGTTAACAGATACAAATTGTTTGGATTTTGATAACCTTGCTGTGACCTTGACCCTCCAAAAACTAAACACTTTTGAGTTGGGTCTTAGTCCAAATGTATACTAACTTTCGTCCAAATCCATTCAGCTGTTTTCAAGAAATCTTGCTGACAAACACGGGGATGAAAACATAACCTCCATCTGCCTTTGGTAGTGGAGGTAACAAACAAAAATGGAGAATTATCATAAATAAGTAATACATATTAAGAAAAATTAGGGGCAAAAATCAAAACTTTACACTACAACTAAATTTTTTTTTAAATATATTTATTTGTCAGAAAGAGAACTAATTAATGACCAAAGATCATTGTTCACAAGATGTAGGTTTATTTCACAAGGTTGAACAGCATTTAAAGTAGTAATCCAATAGGCTTTTTTCATTTCTCTAACAGCTTAAGTTTTGAAACCAGTTTCAATACCTATGACAATCATATCATTATATATAAATAGGTTGACTGAAGTTTTGGGCAATAGTAATACTCTGAGAGTCATTTGGAGTCCTGTGTACTGATGATGGCATTTTTTACAATGTACGAGATAAATGTATTATACAAGTAATTTTTTCAGTAATTTAAGTGTTTTCAGTCATATTTGTAGAAAAAAGGAATCAGTAGTTCTTATGAACTTGCAGGTTAGACAACAAGCTTTAATCCACAGAAGGAAATCATTATGTAGTGGTTTATAAATCCTTTTTTTTTGCATAAACAAAGCTATCTTTAAGATTCTGGTCTTCCAGAAGGAGATAATGGGAACTTTGAAGAATGTATATTTTATGCAATCATTAAGTTGTACTAAATGAAATGTTTTTTTATTTAGAATAAGCAGAACATTTCTATTCAACATTATAGGTAATAAAAAGGATAATTTTGTTTGATTCATTAGTATTACACTGTTTAAGAATGATTTTGCTTCGAGTGTTGTTAGCTTTTTCAACATGTCTGTCAATTTTGGTAACTTTATAGCTTCTTTGTAACATGGTTTGTTTCAGATCCTCAGTGTATTTTCTATAATTTGTTTCAACAGTATAGATTTTCTTGATTCAGAGTACTTGATTGTAGATGATGTTCAAATGGGTGGGTGGGGGGGCTTTTGTAATGTAAATACTGTGGTGTGCTAGTAAGTTTTCTATAAATGTTGATGTGTAAAAGGCCAACATTAAAAGAGACAAAGATGTGAAGAAGTTAATTTGGATAGGAAAGTAATCAAGGATAAACTTGATTGTTTTGTGAAAGGTGTTAGCATACAAAAAAATGTCTAAAGTAATTAATAGCCTAATGTCAACTATGAATCTTTCAAAGCATGAGGTTTCACAGGGCTTTGCTGTAAGAGCTAGCTTTCAATATGACCCAAAAATATATTAGCAGAGTTAGGAGCCATCTTAGTACTCATTGCACTACTGTTAACCTAAAGTTACTATTCATTGTTGAATTCAAAGTTCTTTGGAGATGAAGATATAGTCAGTTCAAGGAAGTTTTTAGAATTCAAGTCCTTCATAGTAATGGACCATTTGTAAATGTAAGAAACATCCTTTATACACAGAAGACAGTTAGAAGGTAAATATCCACTGTCAATGTTTTCTTCAATGATATTTATTAAGTGAGTCATGTGTTCCAATTACATGTACTTCTAAAGAGAAATAAAGTTGTTTGTACATCCTGATATAAAAATATATTAGTATTTATTAAATTTTACTTGTGAAGTAGATAAAAATATAAAATTAACCTGATACCACATGAAACATTTTTTCTGCATTATGTAACAGTGATAGGTAATTTAACTTATATTTGTAAATAATATATTAATAAATAGGATTTTAGGTAAATGTTCTGATAGTACAGAATGAATTTTTACTTTTTTGATATTAAGTTTCAATCAACTAACTACTACAATAATTGTGAGAAAATGTTTTCTTGAATTAATATATATATACTAGTATTCACCTTCAGCAGTAATTTGTTTTCATAACATTTGTTTTTTTATAATCTTTGGTAAGTATATAATTGCACCAAGTTGTACATAGATCAAAATAACCTATTTTTGTGGGTGAATTACAAAAGTAATGAACAAATTCCATTATTTAGTCTGACAAGCGAAGTTCAAGAGTTGGTGGTGAATGGTGTTGACTAGCTGCCTTCCCTCTAATCTATTACTTTAAAATTAGGGATGACTGGTACAAACAGACCTTGTGTAGCTTTGCTCAAAACCAAACAAACAAACTCCACATTTGGGAAGGGGTGTAGTCTCTCTATCTATATCTACTTTAGTAAACTTGCTAGATGGCCAAAAATAAATTTTTCTATTACTTGTTCTCATATTTACATATAGTAACCATGTTTATGGACAGTGTTTCTTGTCTCCTCTAATATACACAAGGCTAAAACAGCTTCTAATTATATTTACAATCACATTTCCAATGCTTGACTGGCACTGTACCAGGGACAGCTAAACAAAGCCTGTCTTGTACAAAAGAATTGAATAGCTTGTAACTTGTTATAATACAATATTTCATGCAAATAGTACATTTCATATTACTTCAGTATGTACAAGTTTTTTTAAAAAAATTGGATGCAGGATCACAAAATTACATAAATCACAATTAAAAAGAACCCAATGACTTGAGCACTTTTAGAAATAAGGCCAACTGTCTGCCTTTTAAAATAACTTGTCCTCTTAAGTAATTTGAACTATTTTTAAGATTCTTTGTTGAATATAAAGTTTTAAGTAAATGTTCTGTAAATTTATTAACTGCTATACCTGATGCAGAAGCAACCCAAGCTAAACCTAGAGTTCCTCCAGAAAAATCTCTATATGTGAAAACATAGGCAAGGCAGAATTCATCATGATTAGTCTGAGAGTTTAGGTTCAAGAAGTTAGACACATCAATGTTGGGGATACAGTAAGGATTGCTTCCTCTCTTCATAGGTGTATCACATTCAGAGGAATCATTGATCTGAAGAGAAATTAAAAACAATACTGTTTTATATAGGTCAAAGTCTACATTTACTGCTCATTAAGTAATTAACTGTATATGTATTATTTTAAGTAACTAGATAGATAACCAAACGGCATAATTAATAAAGAAATAAAATGTTTTTGTAACTGTAGAAATGTCAAGAATTTACAATAACTTGTAAATAAAATTCTTACAAAAAATTATTTTACATGTTGGTTTTCATACCCAATGCATAAAATAGAAACTAGGATCTGGGTAACTATCCCTGTACTGATTAACAAAGGACATCCAAATACATACTATAACAACAATCTGGCAACTGGTGTTTTCACTCACAGATAAAACACACTTTACAGGATATAACATGATTCAAAAAGTCTAAAAAATTATTTCTGAATTTATAAGACAACATTAAAGGATTTCATTGTCATTGTAGCTTAACACAAAGACAAAGCTTTTCCTTTAGGTTAACACGTACTACTTAAAAGCATAAAAAAATAATTACAACAACCTAAAATTCTTTATTTTGTTTTCATGCACAAATCCAAACTACAATGACTGTAGGAACAAGAGCACCATGGCAACACACAACAGCATATTTATTTGAACAATTCGAAATTTGCACATTCCACCATTAGTAAATTAGAATGTGTAAATTCTGAAACAGTCTGTTTTCTTTATGTATGATACTAAACTAAGCACATGTTGCTGTTATTAAAATGTATTTTTTGTAACGCTTTGTAAATTATTATAACAATCATTGTCAATAGATTCATTAGACAGAAAATGTAGTCTGATTATGAATGAGAGCACTGTGCAATACATAACATATTTATTTGAAAAATCATTGTTCATTAAATGAATACTACAGCATGTTACTGAGAGTAATATAGATTTTACAGTAAATACAGCATTAATTCTAATGTTTAGTCATTTATAAAAGACTTATAAGTAAAATAAATAAAAGTACTAAATCAAACATATATCACAAAATGTCAACATAATTTGTTGTTTCATAAGTAAGTAGTGTCTTAAAATCATAGCATATATATGTTAAAAGGTTTTAATAATAATAAAAAATAACACTTATAATCAAAAATAAATTTTAGTCTGGAAGTACAATGAACATACTCTTCTTTTGAAGTTATTGTGGACTGAGAACAAGGCAGTACCTTCTACTGAATTTTTCTAGTGTAGAGATTGTGATAAGATGTTCCTGAAAAACTCTAGTATTGAGCAAAAGGCCCTATCATCAGCAATATACAAAGGGTCAATTACAAAATCATATTGTATACTCTACCTACTAGAAGCTCACACTGGGCTGGATAAAAATAATGTAATTTCAAACTATCAGTCTTACAAAGATGTATGCCACACATGATACATAAGTGTCACATATTACTGACTTTAAATTGATAATACTAGGATTTTGTGTTCAAATACACATGAAGCTCTAACTGTATATGTTATCAATTTTCAATAATTATAATTTTTGACAAAACATTTCACAGAAACATTTCTCAAATTCACCAATATATATAAACCAAGAAAAACAGTTTTCTAAGTAGATGTAATCTATCTGTAACTCACCTTTACTCTCTGAACAACAAACTTTATTCCAGTATATCCATTAAAATTTGTGTCTTCATATATACGATTTACAGCATTCACATGCTGTGCTATAAGTGAAATAATTTCTTCTTTAACTTTTGTATCTGTAGACTCATGACGCTTTACATGGTCCCAAAGGAAAGAATCAGTCTGAATATACAATGAACATGCTCTTCTATTTGGAGTTATTGTGGACTGAGAACGTGGTGGTGACCTCCACTGAATTTCTCTAGTATACAGATTGTGATAACTTTGTTCCTCAAAATGAGACCTTTTAGTTCTTTCATTTCCTCTGTCTCTTTTTGAGTCCTGTGGAAAAGTTACATAAATAATTCATATAAAATTTATTCAAGAAAAATGCCAAAACTGAGGCATATGAGGAAATATATGACATGTGAATTGTACAGAAAAATAACTGAGTTGAATATGAAACCTGTCCTGTTTTCTAGTAGAACCATCAAAAGTAATAACAAATAGAATTCGTATTGGAGTCAGGAGGAAGCAATTCAAATTGTTGAAGAACTAAGTAGATGATTAACAGTTCAGATAAGCATACAAGAAGGATATGTGCTTTCAGCAAAATTATATATTTTGAATGTATTTTATCACCATAGTTTTATAATTAAATTTTTAAAAATTAAAAGAAATAAGTAAAAAATAATAATAATAACAAAACACCTATACTTCTGTGAAAGGTGATACTGATTTTTAATAACAGTCTTGAAAGGGATCAAAAAGCATCACAAATTAAAGTTTCTATAAATACACAAAATCTGAATGAATATGTTCTAAACTTGAACAAAAAATATGGATTCCTCACTTTATCAGCATTGTATCAACTCAACACAATTTGATTATGTCTTCTTACAGTTGTTAGTTACCATGACTACTATATCTATGGACATTTTTGTCACTTATTAACTCTCTCACTATGGGCTTGGTCCCAGGGACTGACCGTGTAACCATTTTGTGCTTGTTATACTTTTCACCCTATAACTTTTAATACAGTATGTGTATCTTCACACAATTTTGCAGATTATCAGTAAATATTATAAGGCTTTCATACACAAAACATCAGATTTTTTTTATTAAGCTTAAGCTTTTTTAAGTAATCATTTGCTCGTGCATTTTTTCTTTTCAAATGTTGACTAACCAACATGCAAAGTAATTTGGATTTTCAGATTAAAAATACTTTTATGATTCAGAAAATTGTAAAATTTCACATGTGGAATCTCTATAACCTCCAGATAATTATCCAACTTTTTTTTAGAAGAAACTTTATATTGTACCTGTTATTTTCACTATTGTATCTCTTTGTGGGTTTGGTAGATTTGACCGGCCTTGTAACCACCATAAAGAATTAGGAAATAGATATAAATTACACTTTTTCTTAAATCTTATAACATTATATATATATTTATTATTTTATTTATAGACCTTTCAGCAGAATTGGACTAGCATTACAGAAGTTAAATGACGCAGTGCATGTGCACTCATGTTACTGTATCTAATAATATAAAAATGGCTTTTACAAAGTGACCCGTCTTGACTGTGTTCTAGTGAACTAGTATTTTGTAAAATACAGTCACATTTCAGTTATAATACATTGTTACTACTTGCAAAAAAAGTTCTTAAATTTTAGTTATTTTTCTTAAAACATAGAACAGTAAATGAAGTATAGAAAACAATTATCTCTTCTAGTTACGAACTTTGTATTCATTTGCTGCTTGCCGTAATGTGCTAAGCCTAATCAAATTTTGCATGTGGATAATGTAAACCAAAATAATTTTCTTAGGTTTTATATATGCATTTTGAAATAACAAAAAATCATAAATCACTATATCAATACCACAGAATTCCACTACAATTTATCAAGATTAGTAACTAAGTTGTATTTGGGTCTAAAAAATATGATTTTTCGAGCTCAATAATATCTTAACTTACCACTTGATATCTACCATGGAAATAAAGGGTTTCCCACAAATACTTCATAGAGGCTCAGAAAATCATGAGGGGGACATTCCAAGCTTTCAATTGATTATTCACACATCATAGACAGAAGCAGGTGTACATAAGCAAGTATTTCCAAAAACGGAAAGAGGTGGATGTGGCTACTGTGTTTGATTCAATAAATGTAGAAATATCTCAGCAAATAGAAAAGATATGGGGTTCATATTTTATATTCTAGCTTGTCAAAATCAGTAATTTGAGTTTTTAATTTGTAAAAACTACAGACTTTGTACTTGCCCATTACAAACATATAATCTGAACCAATGCTGCATTCAACACACCATGTGACACAAAAAAATTGATATTTAGACATTTTTCTTAATATTTACTTTTAAATTAAGAAATTAACTAATGTACAATACTACAATTTGATACCAAACTTACTGACATACATTCATACAATAGTAGTTAAATAACAAGTTATGATTCTTAGTAGCAATATATATGTGTGTGTGTGTGTGTGTGTGTGTGTGTGTGTGTGTGTGTGTGTGTGTGTGTGTGTGTGTTT